GTCAATCAAATTAGTCGGCGATGATTGCAATCGAAATTAATGAAAAGCAATCATAAGGCGGCGCACGCCAGCCAATTAAGCCCACAGACGACAAAAAGTAAATTTGCGCTTAAACGATTGCAGCATCGATTCGATTTCATTAAACCCAATCAAAGCAATTGAGGAGGAAAGAAGGGGTTAATAACAATTCAAATCTCTTTTCTTTTCTCTTCTTTTTTCTCCTTTTGAGTGTGCCGCGTGCCGATAAATCAATTTGCTCAGCCCGGTTCAATTCGAGGAGACTCAACTCCATCCATCCAATCATTGTCTTTTCCTTTATTTTCTCTGTGATTGTGCTGGAGTTCCGGAACTCTGAAGTGCCCCCCAACCGGTGATTGTACCACTAAATCGATTCTGGAACTGGACTTTGGCAGGAAAAGAATCAGAGAATGTGGAGAGGAAATGTTTATTTAAGGAAATGATGAACGGCTTGAAGAAACTGACTCTGAGTAAGAGTTCTTATGAAACAAAAATGATTGGTTTGAAAAGTAAACTTAAGGCGGTTGTTTATTATGATTTTCCACTTATGATCTCATATTTTAATAAATATACAATGCCAAACTAAAAATGACATATGCAACATGTTGATTAATGATTCCGGTTGTAACTCCTAAAGCCTATGAAGGATATAACCGACTGTGAGCCATCTCAACGTGCCGGAGTCAACCTTCCTTTCCCAATTATATATTTCGTTTTAATAACGATCACAGGTTTACCTTCGTTCTAGTCCGATCAAACAATTCCGTTCCCAGACTCGGCGAACTTTCCATTTCGCGGTGATATTTCCAGAGCCAGTTTTTGCTTTTTAACAGTTTAAGCTAGGTTTCTCTGGTTTTATTTTATGGGCTTTATTATTACGGACCTGCCTTGCAAATCGCGAGTGCGGTTCTCAGGCTGCCAGAAGAAACTCCCGCGCTCTAGACATGACGCAATCGGCTCGCATCCGTTGAGCTATTTCAAAACTTGTTGCAGGCTTATTAATTTGGCTTTGTCTTTCGGGCCAGGGGAGCACCGAAGGCACCAAAAGCACAACTAAAACAAGTTGATTTAGGTGAAGTCATTTGCGTGCAGCCAGACATTAAACACCGAGCAACGAACACCGAACACCGAACACCGAACACTGAACACTAAACACGGCAACGGAAAACAGCAAAACAGTTCAGAGATCAGCTCGGGGCTCTTGGAGATCAGAGTTTGGAGTCAAGTCGGTCTTGGGTCGTCTGTTGTTAGTTGTTTGTTGTTGGTTATTTTAGCACACTTTCAGAGGGTATTTAATACCCTAAAATATTAATCAAAAATATACAATAAATCTTGACTAGCTAGCTTGAAAAGTTAAAGATCATCGAACATTTCAATATTAAATTGAATTTATAATTCATAAGATTTTATTTAATAACTACTAACTTGCTCTCATACACACAGTTACATTTGAAAGAAGAGTACAGCTGCTTCGTTATTTTTAAAATAAACCGTCCTTTTCGCTTTTCTATTTGTATTTGTTGTTTAGTTTAGTTCCAAAAGCCACGCCGCACGCCTGACAAATTTGCGCAAATAATAAAAACAGATTTTAAATGCCTGGAAATTGAGTCTGCCATTGCGGTCTTAAATCAGTTTCTCCACCTCAAACTGACATTTAGAGCTTTACTGGGAACTGGCAACGAGTGCATAGATCAGGGCTTAAATAAGAGAAACTTTATGGGTTTTGTCTATTTGAGCACATTTATTTTACTAGAGAAAAAATAAGATGTTTCGTTTCAGCTTTAAATATATAATTGGCAAGGAAATGCATGCTAATTACGATTTATACCCGATTTGTCGGTTTTCTTAACGCTGTTCTAAAAATGTTTACTGCTTTAGCTATAAATAACTAGAGGGGAAATTAAAATAGCAAACTTTTGTTGAAATATGTCATTACTTACACCTAGCAGAAAACAACAAAGCTTTATTTATTGATTAAGCAATTTCTAAGTACTTCTAAAAATTAATAGCAAATAAACATTTACATTTATTTTAGGCTTAAGAGAGAAATATATACAGAAGCAACAAGCGCTTTCTTTGATTTACATTAATAAGTTTACTAATTGCTTTTTTCCAGAGTTACAACTGAGCTTTTCTTTACCTTCATTAAGAACTTAAGAGTTTTACGAAAATGCCAAGGCTATCTTTTATATTGTTTATAATGAGTTGTCATTCGGTTTTATTTTTATAGTTTTCATGTATTTCTTCTTCATAGGCTCATTTGGCAAAAAATACAATGTATATACTTCCATTGTTATTCTTTAACCTTCCCCAATTTTGTCTCGTAAGCGTTTCCCAGCAGTATACAAAGTTTTTAAATTATGGCACGCCCTAAAACTTGAGTAACCACACCGGAAACTCTTGCTCAGCCGATATGGTCGATGGCTTCTTTTTTCTTTGAGAAGAAGAGACCCGCCCTGGGGAGTTATTTCCCTTCGTTAATACGAAGCGCCGGCACCTCGAATCTACATAGTTCACACTTCATTGAGCCTCGAAATTTATGAGAAAATGCATTCGTTGCCTGAGTGGAATTCTTTGGCTGCTCTTTCCATTCATCACTTGGCATTAGCATTTCCCCATTCATGCTTCACGCACTTCTTCGGTGGCGCTGCCCTAAATTATCATGCCCATAGTTCATAGTTCTATTCAGGGCACGCTTTTCATTGGCTCTTATCTGGTCAATGTTACAGAAAATCCAGAGGCACGTAGTATTAATTAGCTCAGCTCGAACAGCACATCCGAAGTGGTCCGGAAAACCCGCTAAATGAATAACCGGCGATTGTTTTGTAATTTATGCGCGAGCTACACACTCACTCAAAAATAAAGCTAACAAAAAAAAACAACAACGTACGCCTCAAGGGAATGTTTATGCGACACTTTTTAGTATGCAAAATGCAAACCAAATTGGCAAAAACACAAAAACATAAAACAACACAAACGAGAACAACAGAAATTGAGCTTGACGAGAAAAAATATATGCGACGAAGTGTAATTGCGGGCCTGCCTTTTGAAGTTCCACACTTTTTGGCAGCCCGGCAATTAAATTGAAATTAGCCTGCATTGTGAGGGAATTAAGTGATTCGTAGGGAGGTGTCGGTGACCATTGTCTCGCCTCCGAAACTAAAAATGGATCTTTATGGGGGTTCACCCTGGAAGGTATTGTTAAGGCGGGTATTTTGGACTTGAAGAAATGTTTCGAACTAAGATAGTCTTTTCTATTATGAAGACCTTAAAGCTGTTGAGCCAAATATTTCATAAATCTACATAAATATCAAATTTATTTAATTTACTTCTCAGAACTTTGGCCACAAAAATCGAATTGTTAACGATTTGTGACTGTCTTTCTACGATTTACCTGCCCAACGGTAATCACTAAACCGAAACCATTAGCATAACGACTTTTCCCCGATTTTTTGCTCATCATGGGTCTGACATCCCAGCAATTAACACTTCAAACTTGAACTTGTCCGGCCGGGAGTGACGTCACCTCTAGTGGCAATTTGTGCAATAAACAATGGCAAGAACAACAATAAAAATCAGGCAGCGAATAAAACGAATTAAAAATAAAAAACACGAAATCCCAAAAATCAACGGAAGCAGCAGCCTCTTCAACACAAAAGCACATAAAATTCATTTAAATTTTAAATTCAAAACGAACTGAAACTGAAATATCAACGAAATGAATAAACTTCGATCGGCGCGGTTGGGAGTTCCATGAACCCATTACTTATTTATATATAAGAGTCTTTTTTCGGGGCATTATCTAGGGGACAACAACGGCTTCCTGGCCAGAAACTTAGGCGACTTTTGGCTTCTTTTCGAAAGTCATCAATAACCGCGACGGCGGTGGCAATAAAGAAGCCCAAGTTGCAGCTTAAATGGCAAACGTTGCAACTGTGCAGTGCCGTGGCAGGGTTTTGCAAGTGCAATTGGTTGTTGCAAGTCCGTGTCTAGTCTAGGTGACGCCTTTGGGAAGGAACGGAAGGAGCGGAGAACCCGGCAGCAACCTGTTAAGGGGGATTTTCGTTCGACGCTCGTTCCGAGCCATTTATTTTCATGGGAAGTGGTCGCGAATAAAGGAGAACAACGCCACCCATGCCAGCCCACTCCATCTAAACCCATTCGAACCCCGTCAAAAACCACCCCGGCGACCTTGAGCGGGAGTTTCAGTCCATCGTCACCTCTCATCGCACCGTCTCTTTTCAGCCCGAGTATTGTCCTCTCGTTCCACCAGCCTCACGCACTTTTTGCAGTTCAAACTGGACAACCAGTTCGCAAACCAGTTCCCTTGCACATTAAAAGCAGAAGAAGCAAAAAGCCATCGCGGGGGCCACACACAGAGAAAAATGTCGCCTAAGAACTTGATAAACATTCTAGGGTTTAAATATTTAAAGAATAGTTAATATTTCTCAAGAATCCCTATAGAAAGGAAAGCACTAAAGTCTTAAGAACGTGTATTATGAATATAGAAAAATATCACTAAGACATATTGCCTCCTTAAAATGCAGGAAAAGCTTAGCAAAATATAAAGATTTTCCTACTAAAAAAAATAGCAGATCGAGAGACATAAAGCATACGTTTCATTAAATTTCAAGTTGCATTCTAATATTGCACAATATACCATAATGTAGTAATTTTATATAGACCTTAGCGTAGCTTCTTCTTCTAGTAATAATAAGGGTCCTGAAAGTCAAAAGGTTTATTTATTTCAGGACCCAAGTTTCCATTTCTAAATTTGTATATTACTTAGATATATCTTTTTCATAGCTTTGGCTTTGCTTTTAGCTGTAACTAATCCTTGCCAGAGGCCATACTAAATTCAACATTATCTTGAAACCCTGTGAAATCTCTTTTTATTTTCCTCCATTTTCTTTGCGTGCATTGGCAATCGAATCGAATCTGCGAAGCGGGCTCAAACTCAAACGGGGAGCGACGAAACTCACCTGAAATATCATATATCCCGAGTCGTACATCCAAAAGTCCTCGGGCGTGTGGCCGGGCTTGGTCAGCTGAATGGCCAGGCAACGCTGCAAGATCAGACGGCAGCGCTGTGGACCACCGGGTGACTTGGTGCCCATTTCGTGGCAGTTTCAGTCGTTTTGGCTGCTTTTTTCTTGCTGGTCTCCGCTGGCTCTGGGCTCCTCGATTCCTCGATTCCTCGATTCCCCGATTCCACACGGCCTCTTGGCTTTCCCAGACTCTTTTATCGTCTAAAAATAACGCCAAGTTGGGGGCTTAAGGATCTCTGTGTTCTTTTTTAATGGTCAAGCACTGAGCAGAAAAAAAAGGTAAATACAAAAGCGCGATAAGAACGAAACCCGTCGTATTCGCAGAGTGTGTTTTATTCTTGTTGTTTTGCCTTTGGAGTTGGCCACATTTGGATTTTTGCACACTTGTATTTCGGCTTTGGACTTTTTTTCTTTGCGGGCATTAACTTTTTCCAACGAACTTTGGCAGCCCTCTGGCAATTAGCAATAACTTTTTATCCCAGCAGCCGCGACGCCTGCGCGCAGGCACTCTAATACCCGAAATCACTCACTACTCAGTACTTGGTACTCGATACTCCACGAGTACTCACTCTCCCTTCAGAGCGACCGCGAACCGAACCGACCGAACCGAGCGACGAAAAAAGATTGCTATGGCATACGGGGCTCACGAACGGAAAATGTGCGGAAAACGAGATTCTGGCGTTCGGGCGATTGCCGAACGCCGCCGAATGCTGCCGAAGTGCAGTGGCTGGCGCTCCGTTCTCTCTCTCTCCCACGCCGTGCTCTCTCGCTCAGAGGCTCCACTTTGCCAGCTTCTTGGGGGGGACCTGAAACGACAGACGAAAATCGTTGTAGAAGCGGCTTTAAAACCTTGATTATTGAATCAATTAGGCCTACCAAAAGATACAAAAAATAACCAAATGCCAAAATAAAAAAGTCACAAACTGGAGTTTAGGCTGCTGAGATATTTCAGATCGCAATCGCGTCGTCAGTCTGTCTGTGAGACAAACGGGCTCTGCTCCTAATAACATCATCACATCATCATCGGCGGTCGTATCATTATCGTTAACCGTAAGCCGCATTTGGCAACTGTTTTTATTTTTACAAATACAGTAGACTCTCGAGAGTTTGAGTTCTTTGTGAAATCAAGTCACAATTTATTATAGAGTATTTTATAAAAATAACAAATAATTAAACTTCCTTTTGAGGAATAAACTTATATTTGTATAGGAAACTGGTTGCTGCAAATGATTTTAATAATTACGACAAGAAATACATTTGTAGTTGACTTATTTAAAATTAAAATATTCAGCAATGAATTTTTTAAATTTATATTAAACTTATATATTACAAAACATTTTTTTTTAAATAAAATAACTTGAAACTTTGACGTAATTTTTAGATATATAAATGTTTTAATAAATAAATCAAAGCAAAAATATTTAAAATTAAATTTTACTCAAATCGTTTTATATTAAATATCAATTAAATTTGAAAACTGAAGGTTTTAAGCTAAGCATAAGCTTCTATTTTCCAAATCCGAGTCACCTTTTTACTCAGTTAATTAATTCAAATATTTTTATTAACTTTGTTTTGTCATTTTTATTACAACTAAAAACCGTTAAAAACTCACAACTTTGAGACACCACTGTCAACCTTAAATTTACTTTTTGTTTTTGCATCGACGACGAGTTACTTTTTCGGGGGCCTTTTGTGCTTTTCAATCTTCAGGCCGGCGCTTGGAAGAAGTCATTTCCTGCCCCAATTGCCGGATGTGCAAATGACTAAAAATGGGTTAATTAAAAACCATCTAGCTGTGCTTGGATTTGGGACCGAGTGAGCTAAGGCAATTTGCCACAAGTCGCTGCTGTAATGTAGAACCCTTGGTCATGTGTGTTCAGAAATGGAACCCGGGCGGCGCAGTCTAGGAAATGTCTGAATAATCGCACATCCATAATTGCGTATACGCCATGTGCGCCGACTGTCAATCACAATTCTAATGCAAATGCGAATCCATTCGCTTTCCGCACTGTCCAAATACATTAAGTGGAAATGCATGCCATGACAGTCCCTGCATTCGAAGCATTATCTGTAACTGTGCGTCAGACGGTCGGAATTTGCATAAACAATTACGATTTAACGAAATTACGAGATAACTCGATTTTTATGGCCCTGAGAGATTTATTTTAATTTCCCGTCGACCAGTTCACCCGTGGCTCACTCCACATGCATTTGTGGCACATTCATCTTCCGAATTCGGTCAGAGCGCGCGCCACATCCATAACAAGAAAGTTTAGGGGGAAGACGACAGGGCCAAAAGTGAGATTCGGATTCGGTTTGGGGCCAATTAAATGGCTCCAGCGGTGAGATCATCGCCCACATAAACGCGTCTCTAAGATTTTCAGTTACACGCAGAAAATCAAAGCAGGTGAAAATGGAAATGGAAATTTAGAAGGCGAATTTAATGCTTTTCATAAAGGTTTACTAAAGAAATTTGACAGAAAGAAATTGTTTTATATACTATTTCAATGGAAAAATAAATACTTATATCATCAGAATAATGATTAATATATTTTTGAAAATGTTTAATCTAATATATTCTTTTGAGCAACAGTTTTAATATTTATTCTACATATTTATCTTTACTTACATCATAAAATAACTTTTTTATACCATTTAATTTCTTGTTGGACAGTCAATTTTTTGTTTCTGTGCAGATCAAGTGTCGCTCAGACGCAGACCCACAGATATTCACGCACACAGCGGTCTCCCCCATCCCTTTGGGCATTTTCTTTTTATTATTTATTTATTGCGGCTTGTATTTGTCGACCCATTAAGCGTCGGCCTTTGTTAGAAAACACGTTTCTTCTGGCCACATTCCGAAAAATGAGAGAATTCGCCAGCAGCAGCATTAGCAGCAGCTCTCAAGCTCCGTTCGCCGCCTTTTGTTTGTCTTACAAATCACAAACATTATGAATTGGTGAAACGCCTGGCCTAAGCTCAAAAGGTGCTAACAAAAATTAGCATAAATTATTATTAACAATTATAACCAGCGGCCGCAGCAGCCCCAGCAGCATGAGCTCCAACGAAACTAAAAGATTTGCCATGTTCTTTTGACACTCGGCCCCAGGCTCTCTTATTTTAAGCAGCTGCAAAAATATGTCAGTTTCGGATTTTTTTCTATAACTCTCAAGGGGGGGTCTTGGAATAGTTGGGGAACAGAAATATACATGTACCTGTCACTTGGAACTGGAATGTTTTTGCCAAGAAAAAATTGACAAGGGTATCCAGAGCCACCTTTCTTTTCTGGTTTGTTTCTTCTTGTCTTGCCTCAGGCCCAACTTATTTTTGAAGGCTTTGCGGCTGTGATTCAGTAATTAAATTTGCACATGACCACATTGAAGTAAGACTTTTGGAGAGTCTTTTTTGGTTGAGAGCGTTCAAAACAATTGAAGCCAAAGTCGAGTGGAACAAGTCCTTGACAACTCACCTTGAACTTCAATTGAGGATCGCCATTAGGCTTTTAGAATTGCGCGAAAAACAAATCTATTACGTTTTATGCAATGGCCATCATTGGTCGTGACAGACTTGAACTTTGATTTCCGGATGAACGAAAGTTTTATTAACGGATTCTGACGCAATCGAATGGAGGTTTTAGCATGCCGAATTAGCGCCTTTCAAGTCCGTTGACATTGGGCACTCATAAATCTATAAACTTCTTTTGTTACCAAGGCCAAGACTATAGGATTTTGGTGGTTGGGAAATTATTAGAAAACTAGAAGGAATTCGAAGCATCATTCAACATTTGATTCCGCATTGAGAGTTTATAAAGTATGTAATGATGACAACCTACTCGTACATAATCATTTCCTATTTTTTAGTGCCATAAAACATCATCAGACCGATCAATTGGAATCCTTTTCTTCATTATAATGAGGAGTTATGCCGCTCGCCTACACTATAGCATAAGTACGCTATACACCCCCGCCGACAATATTTGACAGCTTACTTTCAATTGCGACATCTAGTTAGCGCAAATTTAAGAGCGAAATAAAACAACACGATCGCACCGAGTGGATCGAACGGCTCTGGATCGCTGGATAGATGGATGGATGAATAGCTTAATGAAGCAAGAGCCTGTTCCCCGGTTCGTGGCCCCAAGATTCCATGGTCTGTGGTCCGCGGTCCGTGGTCACTCAACGCGATGCCAGGCTCTTGGCACTCGATCCATACCGATCCGATCCGATCCACCCGCAAAGCATCACCCAAAAACCCCTCCGCGTGCCGCTTCATATTTCAGTTTTACGGTTCAACGACAACGACTCCGCACAGCTGGAGGTTTCTCGAGGAGATCTCGGGGAGCTAGAGAGAAGCTTTCGAAGCTGGTGAAGCTGGATGAGGAGCTGGAGCTGTCGGAGCTGGAGGTGGAGGTGGACAGCAGCTCCAATTGCCGCAATGTGGCAAAGCAATCGATTTAAGCGCCGCATAAATTGAAGCCGAGCTGCAACTTCGAGGAAACCCGAAAAGGTTCCTCCATGTTCAACATGATGAATTGTTTTCTTTGTCGACTTGTCGACTGTTGCGCCGCTTGTGGCAACTGGAAACTGCAAACTGAAAACTGCCAACTAAAAAAGCCACAGAAAGAAAATCGATTTAACAAGAAATAATAATTTTTAAGTAAATTACATTATTAAAATCACAGTTGTAAAGTTTGATATTTTGAATGTGATCTTCTAAAGTGTTGTTTATCTATCTTTAGGTATCTAATGTTTTTTTCTTTACAAGTTTTTTCTCTCGGTGTGGCAACTGGGAGATCGCTGAATGATGGAGTACAGTGGGCCTGAAGTAGGAGTAGGATCCAAAGAGCGGCTCAACAAAACTGCAAATTGTATCAAAAATTTAAATTTTCGCTTTCATTATGCGGCGGCACAGCTCGCCTCTGGAGCTCTCTGCTGCTAATAGACCAACTGCCAGCCATTGTGTTTCTTTTTCCATCTCTTTTCCCTAGTTTATATCTTTTCGTTTTCAACGAGGCTTTGGCTTTTCCCTATTCAATTTTTGACAGGCGCGTTTTTACCCAAATAATGAGCTGTATTTGTGAAAAGGAGAAACGGGTGAAGAAATTCGACAACGGATAACTTAAAGCGTTCAAATAATTTATAGTATTTCGAGCGCTTAATAAGGTTTTGCCTCCCGCAATCAAATGCAGTTACTTGACGATTCTTATGGGGACCACTCATCGTATACGTGATGTGAATATGACGACTGCATGAGTTAAGGGATATAAATAATTAGAAAATTGCAGTAAAAGGTCTACTGAATAGACAAAGAACAGTGGTCCTAAAATAGCAAAAATGTATATTATATTCAGAATAGTGTAGTAGTGTAGAGTTCTTGAATAAAGTTCGGTGTGTCCTGTGAACTGGTACATCACAAATAATTAGACATTAATATAATATATGAAATAAGCGAATCATTAAGATAATTTAAAGTTTAATTAGACCTTTCCTCCGCCGCCATACAACACATTTGTTTGAGGCTTCTCACTGGGCCCACCCGTCGCATACGTGATGTGAATTTTATTCGCTCCTCAAGCCGATCAAGTGCTAGGCTAGTGCAAAAACCAATGAATAATTATAAATCTGCTGCAGAAAAAGTAAAATGAGGAACCCAACTTCGAGTTGGGATTGTTGGGAAATACCAAGGAGAGCGTCACGGCGGGAAATCCACAAAACACAAAAGCAAATTTAAGAAATGCCAAAGATGCCCGACGAAGCCAAGAAATGACATGCCCATGTGCTCCTACTCCTCCTTCTCCTCTCCGGAT